GCTGAGGTAGATGCAGCAAGGGCTGCCAAAACAAGTGAAACTCACAAGAACACTGTAACTATGGCAGCCACTACCTTGTTTACCTCTGCCTATAAAATAAAGGCTCAGCTTGCCGTCTAGATCTCTCTCTGTGGCCTCAGCCAGGCACAGGAAGATCCACCTAGACCATTGGTGGGCAAACTGCGGCTCGCGAGCCACATGTAGCTCTTTGGCCCCTTGAGTGTGGCCGAAAAGTTTCAATCACACTGTTCGTGCGCGCCCGCACGTGGTATTTTGTGGAAGATCCACACTCAAGGGGCTAAAAAGCCACATGTGGCTTGTGAACCACGGTTTGTTGACCACTGGTCTAGGAGATCCGTCTGCCACCAGAACTACGATTCCCAGCATTCTTGGTGCTCCCTGCACTCTGGGCTTCCGCTTCCAGTCCTGAGGCTGCCACCAGAACTACTATTCCCAGAATTTCTGGTGCTCCCCACGCTCTGGGTTTTCCCCAACTGAGGGAGCCACGTCCCCACAAGCCTCCGGCTCTCCAGCTCTGCTCTGTGTACACAAATTACCCACCATCTTTGTTGGGTTAATTTGCATACTCACTCCTCATTGGCTTGTGGCCGTGACTTCTGGGTGTGGCTTGAGTGTAGTGGAGGAATGGTTACTTTGCATGTTTCTCTTTTATTATATAGGATATATATTTCCATTGATTTGTAGAGAGAATGGAAAGGAGAGGGAGAGACACAGAGAGAGACACAACAATTGGTTGCCGGGGATCAAGCCTGCAACTGAGGTATGAGCCCTTGACTGGAATTGAACCTGGGGTCCTTCAATCCAGGGGCTAACACTCTATCCACTGAGCAAAACCAGCTAGGGCTACATTGCATCTTCTTTATCCATTCATCCAATGATGGACTTAGTTTGTTTCCATACCTTTTTACATATATAACTTTTTTTCTTTAAAATTTTCTGTAAATTATTTCCTAATTAGAATATAAAAAAATTATATTTTTCAAGAAAAAAGTTCTGTTTATGAAAGGAGAGGGTTAGTTATGTGACAGGAAGGGCAGTCTCTGCATAGAACAGGCCATGGAACGGGCAGGCACAAGGGAGGACACAAGGACTCCTTGCCCTGCCCTGGCCTGGCCAGTGGAGGCAGGGAGGAGCCCAGAATAACCTGCTCTTTCTTACCTTCCCTCCACACACCAGCTTCCAGGAAAGTCTGTGCCAGACGGAGAGCCCACTGCTCTGGCCTGCGTCATGCCAACCCAGGCTCTGCTGCCCATCCTGCTTCTCTGTGTTCTCATGCCTGGGACTTGAACCTTTTAGCACATCCAGCTCTGACCACAGGACTCTGAAGACTCTGGGTCCTTCCAAATCATGGCCCTCCAGCTCCGTTATGGGGCCCTGGGACTAGTGATGGGGGTGGAAGACAACCTACATCTTTTTATTCTCCATTCTCAAAGTCCAGAGACATATGGTGCATACAATAGTGAAAGGTACACAGAGCTGAGAGTCAATTCTTTCATTTATGCACATATGTGACAGGTCAACATCCAGACATGTTTTGGGGAGTAGGTCTAGAATGAGAGAACGTTTGGAAAGAAAATTTTGACATGTTTCAGACTTCACTGAGTTCTTAGAGTCAGAGTGTAGATTCTATGGGGGTGGCTTCACCAAGGCCGTGACTAATATGAGACCAGCGTCCTGGCTTCAGGAGTATGGAAGGGGTCCAGAAAGCCCAAACATTAAACCTTGTTGATGGAGAATGGGGGTAATGGATTGAAGATACTACCAATCAGCAGAATTTGGTAAGGGGCAGAAAGGGAGTTCCCTGAAAAGTCTAAGAGTGTCATGAGTGGGACCTGGGTTTTGGAGTCATGATGAGACTTTAAGCTTGAGAGGAGTGTTTTGTGTGGTCTGGTTCCATTGACCTTACTCCTGTTCCTTTTAGGTCTCAAGGCCTGTCAGAAGAGGCCCAGTGTATATCTTTGCAACAACCACTGTTCATATTTCCTAAAGTGTCCCAATTCCAATACCATATGCTGTTCAACCTACTGCGGGAACGTTTGCATGAACCGCCTGTGAGTGGGTCTGTGTATTCTGTTCCCCTAACCTTCTAAAACTGTGCCTGCCACCTTAAATCCTGGGCAAAGGGCTGTCAACCTCCTCACTATCTGGATGGCTTTTTTCTGTCAAATAAACCAGAACAAATGCCCTAGGACTGGCCTATTTTATTCCTAGTGCTTGTGATCATTGAGAACCCAGTGCAGACCCCAGCATGCCCCCATCTCTCTGGGTCTGGTCCCTGATCCCTCTCCCCTTGCCATGCTTCTCTACTCTCTCTTCCTTTGGCCCAGGCACTCCTGCCAGGCCCCCAGAGGCTTGGCCCTCTCATTGCTCTACTTACTGAACCAGTACTCCCAGGGGCAGAAACTGCTCAGGGGTGGCCTCCCCCAGTGCTAAAGAGAACATCCTCACCCTGGAGTCACAAGGGCCAAGTTAACCATGAGGTAGGTGGAGGCTAAACCCTGGGGCACAGAGTCCGAGGCCCCCAAGGAGACCTTTTCTTTAACTTGCCCCATCCCTGTCCCTGTCTTCTCCCTCTCCTTGTGAAAATCAGGTAACTATCCTATATAATAAAGAGGTAATATGCAAATTGGCAGACCATTCATGATATGGTTAGAGGAGGGTGTTTCCTCTGAACTCCCTGTTTGCTCACATCTTCTCCACTGTGGTGAGACCATAGGCATGGAAGTAAGTGCCTGTGCCAACCCCAAGTTTCCCCACTTCATCCTCCACCAGTATGGCCACTCTTAACATGGGGCCTGGAGTGAGTGTCAGGACCTAAGACTCCAGTGCCTTCCATTCACTGAGCGGTCCCTACCTGTCCCAAATCCTCCTCCTTATGCCCTCATTCCCTCTCTCTTTTTAAATCAGGAGTGAAGCCATGGGGGTGGTTCCATTGTGATGCTGCAATGGATTAACGAACACAAGTGGCTATGAGTCTTGTCCCTGGTCTCATGGTGAGTCAGTGAGCATAATCACTGGGTACAGTCTTTCTACCTCTCTGTGCAATCACAATTTCTCTGAAATGGTCATGGGGCTAGAAGATCCAGGGGCTGAGTCCTGTGTGGCCAATCGGGACTTGGCATCAAGTGTGGAGAACTCAGGCAGGCAGCCCATGCTGGAGGCAGGTATGCAGTGTGATACTCCAGTCCAGTGCTTCCTGCTGGGCATCAATCCTGGAGGCAGAGGAGGAAATCTGCCTCCATCAGGCCAGAGCCTCTGACCCACCTCAGAAGCATCACAGGGCTCCTGGTATTAAGGACCTTCTCCATCTGTACTAAGAGCTGCTATTGGCAAGGGGGCCTTGGGAAAGAAGTCATGACCAACCACCAGCACAGACATCATCAGAGTGGGTAGGTGGGTAGGGATGATCTACAGAAATTCTTATTTGGTTCTTTCTCAGATTACCTCACTCTCCAAACATCTTCCTAGTGCTTGGCCTGAGGGTGAAACACCCTCAGAGAAACTATTAAGAGAGGCAAGGTTACATGAAAGCTCCTTGTTCACACCTTCCTCACCCCAATGGCATGGAGGGTTCTGCTGTGTGGCTACTCAACCACAAATGTGCCTTTAGCCTCAGCCATGAGGCAGGAGGCCTTAAGGAGGATAATAAGCTCTGAATGTCTCTTTAATAAACCTTGCCTTAAACTCAGAGTAAGTAGCTGCCTCCTCCAAAGACATAACCTTCTAAATAACTCCTACTCAGTGATCTACATTCTGATACCGAGGAAGGGCAGTCTCTAAGTGCAGAGCACGGTATATCTCCATTGTGTGTTGTTTAAATGTCTTAAATCTTTCTAATTTTTGTTCCCTTTGACTTATCAATAATTGGGAAAAGTATGTTGAGGGCTCTTCACACAGCCATGGATTTTTCAGTTTATGCCTGTAATTCCATTGATGTTTGCTTTATTATATCCTGATTCTATTGATTTAGGTAAATATGAATGAATTCCTGGCAGGTTGAATTTTTTATCATTACATAGTGACCAAATATACCAAGCACTGGGACAGCTAACAATGAAGGAAGGAGGAGATATCCTCTTAGAGGAGGCACTGCACTGTAAGATTGGAAAAAGCACAGAATTGAGGTTTTTTCTCTAGGAGGAAAGGGAAGACATGAAAGTGGTTTAGTCCCCAGCTTTATTGTGTACTCCCTGCAGAGTTGGTCTCTGTCTTGCTTTATATTAAGTACTATTGACCAGTAAATGTGTCTCTCAGTCAAAACCAGTTCATAAAGGCTGGGAGAGGCAGCCACTTCTTCAAATGTGCAGACAAGAAAGCAAACTTACAGGAACAAGAAAAATCAAGAAAGCTTGACACATCCAAAGGAAGAAAACAAATTTTCAGTAACCAACCTAAAAGAAATGGAGGTCTTTAAACTGGCTAACAAAAATGTCAAAATAATTATTTTTTAAAGCTCAGTTATAAAAGAACACAGATTCACATCAATGTGATTGACCACATTACCAGAATAAAGGATAAAAATCATCTGATCATCAATAGATACAGAAAAAACATGTAAGAAGTTCATCATCCTTTCATGATTAATTTCTCTACAGTAAAGGTCATATATGACAAGCCCACAGCTAATATAATACATAGTTAATATCATACTGAAAGCTTTTCCTCTAAGATCAGGAACAAAACAAGGATGCCCACTCTTGCCATTTCTATTCAACACAGTACTGGAAGTCCTAGCCAGAAAATTATACAAGAAAGAGAAAGAAAAGAAAAGACATTCAAATTAGAACGGAAGAAGTTAAATTGTGTTTGCAGATGACATGATAATCTCTATATAAGCCGAATATGCTAAGTGTCCAACCATTCGACTGTTTGACCAGTAACTATAACACACACTGACCACCAGGGGGCAGATGCTCAACGCACAGGCATGGAACAGACTTATGAATCTCAGAGGGAAGGGGGGTAGGGGAGAGGCGGGAAGAGATTAACCACAGATCTTATATGCATACTAGAGGCCCGGTCACAGATTGGTGCACCAGTGGAGTCCCTCGGCCTGGCCTGTGCCCTCTTGCTATCTGGGACTCCTTGGGGGATGTTGGACTACCGACTTTGGCCTGATCCCCGCAGGCCAGGCCGAGGGACCCCACTGGTGCATTAATCCATGCACCAGGCCTCTGGCATATATAGAAAATCCCAAAATTCAGTTAAGTTGCAAAATACAAAATCAACCAACAAGAAGTCAATTCTGTTTTTATACACTAACAATAAACTATCAAAAAAAAGAAATTAAGAAAACAAAATTAGCTGTAACTGGTTTGGCTCAGTGGATAGAGCATCGGTCTGCGGACTGAAAGGTCCCAGGTTCGATTCTGGTCAAGGGAATGTACCTTGGTTGCAGGCACATCCCCAGTAGGGGGTGTGCAGGAGGCAGCTGATAGATGTTTCTCTCTCATTGATGTTTCTAATTCTCTATCCCTCTCCCTTCCTCTCTGTAAAAAAATCAATAAAATATATTTAAAAAACAACAACAAAAAACATACAAAATTATTTCTAATAGGATCAAAATTAATAAAATACGTAGAAATAAATTTAACCAAGGGAATGAAAGATCTGTACCCTGAAAACTATAAAACAGTGATGAAAGAAATTAGCAAAGACACACAAAAAATGGAATGATACCTCACATTCATAGATTGAAAGAGTTAATATTGTTTAAATATCTATGCTACTCAACATGATATAGATTCAATGAAATCTCTATCAAAATTCCAAAGACATTTCTCACAGAAATAGAAAAAAAAACAACACATAAAATTCATGTGGAGCCACATAAGATTTCAAGATCCCCCAAAGATCCACCAGAGAGCGCCGAGTTCGATGCAAACGCATAGAGTCTTTATTCAAGCTAGCTTGAGCTCCCCGTCCACCACACTTGCTGACACAGCGGCAGGAGGCAGAAAGAGAGCTCTGTGGGGAGAGGGGTTTTATAGGGGGGTTGGAGTAAGGGGAGGAGAGAGGACTGTGGGCCCTGCCGATTGGCCAGGTGCAAGTCGAGGTCTTGTTACACAGGATGTGGTTGTGTCTATGGTGCGCACTTCCCTTGATTAAATCCTAGATGTGGCTAGCAGAGGCTTGGGCTTCCGAGAAGAAGCTCCTTGTTGAGCTCATGGCTAATGGCTGCTGCCCCAAAATGAAGGATCTGGGGCAAGATGGAGGGTATAGCCCTCGCCCTTTCAACCCCAAATAACCAAAGCAATTTTCAGCAAAAATAACAAACCAGAAGAACCACACTTTCTGATTTCAAAATATATTACAAAGCTATAATAATCAAAACAGTATGGTATTCTTTTAAAAACACAGTATAGTATTGACAAACACAAAACACATACAAATATAGACCAATGGAACACAATAGAAAGCCCCAAATGAAATCCACACATTTATAGTAAATGATTTTTACTGTGCCAAGAACACAGAAGCTGGAAAGTATAATCTCTTCAGTAAATGGCATTGGAAAAACTAGATATCCATGTTCAGAAGAATGAAATTGGGCCCTTATCTCACAATAAATGCAAAAATTAACTCTAAGTCCCCAAAAGCCTTAAATGTAATACCTGAAACTTTAAAATTACTAGAAGAAAACATACAGGTAAATGCTTCTTGACATTGGTCTAGGACAGCAGTTCTCAACCTGTGGGTCGCAACCCCTTTGACACTCGAACAACCCTTTCACAGGGGTCGCCTAGGACTATCCTGCATATCAGATATTTACATTATGAATCATAATAGTAGCAACATTACAGTTATGAAGTAGCAAGGAAAATAATTTCATGGTTGGGTCACAACATGAGGAACTGTATTTAAAGGGCCAGAAGGTTGAGAACCTCTGTGATTATTTTTTGGGATATGACCCAAAAGCACAGGCAACAAAAGTGAAAATAGACAGGATTGCAAACAAAAAAGTGTCTGCACAGCAAATGCTGGAGACCAATTCCAGCATGTCATAATTTCAAGAGTTTCATCAAAAGGTCAATAAGGCCTGGGGACTCAACAGGGTTGAGTCACACAGGTAGTCACTTGTTGAAATGGCTGAAGGCACTTCCCCAAACCTGAATAGGAAACTGATTGTGGTTGCCAGACAGTTAAAAGTCATCTTAATCTACATGGTATTGCCTCTTACTGGCCAAACACCTGAATAGCCGTAGGCTAATTCCCCCATTCTGACAATGTTTCTGTATAC